TTTAAATCTATCAAGTCTGCTTCGTGCTGCATATCTACTCTTTAATATGACGCCTTCACTAGAGCATGATTTAAAGACTGACTGCTCCTCTCCCAGCATCTATCAATTCCCAATTGTTTCTAAAGCTTTTGGTTTTGATTTTTTTTTTTGTTTTTTTTTTTTCAGTAGAAAGTGGTGACTATGGAGACCCACAACTGGTTAATGCACAAAGAATAAGAAACTTCATAATTCACAAGCATTGATCACGGTTCTATACCACACATCCTTTCCTCCCAGGGATGATTGAAGAAAAGGGACAGAAAACATACAAGAGCCAGATGTAGATGGTGACCACAAGATTAATGTACATTTTAAGAAAACCAAGAACACAATGAACTGACAATGTTGCCTGTCAATATGCTGTTATTATAACACAGAGTAGAGAAGACAAAAAAAATGGCTCAGCCACGAATAATGCTACAGAAAAGAGTGGGTCCCAAATCTTGTACTGTATGTTATAACCTTATCTTAAACTACTTCTTCTTTTTGTTTCAAAGGATGAGTATCATTGATGAAAATAAAGTTCAGCAGTTATAAATCCCTCACTTCTGGAATTTATGTCTCAAAACTGCTCTACATATGTATTGTGTTCTTACTTTTCTTCAAGAACATTCAACTGGATAAAAATATTATGAGGTGGCATCAGTCAGCCTTATTTTAGAGTTTTGGATACTTAATTATGTTTCTAGGCATAGAACACCTAAAAAGCAAAGCTACTTAGATTCTACCTTGGTCCTCAGACTCGTTGAATTCATTCAGGCTATATTGCTTTTCCAAACACGGGTGGGTTTTTGGTGAACAGCTGTTCTGGACCAACCACAGTGTGGCACATACTGGATTCTTACACATATGATCCTATGAAAGAATTATTTTGTTCTGGAGGAGTCTCAGACTCAGGGTAGTTAAATAAGTTATCCATGGCTAGTCAGTGAAATGATCTGCAGCCTCAAAAATCTGCCGTAGTCCACAATCAGAGCTCAAATGCATGGGGTTGGTTCCCCCTAGTGGATGAATGCAGCAAACAATTTACAAGGCAATCTTGTACCCAAATTCTGCAGTTTAATATCAACCTCATTTGCATGAAACTAAGTATTTTTAGTTTCAATCAAAAATTTCAAAAAGAAGTGACTTATCTTGCCTGTTAGACTTCTTGGCTGAATAAGGTTGCATGACATTACTGTTTCCAATGTTCAAGACCAAATTTTCTCCCAGCTCACATTTTCTAGCTTGCATACCCCTTATTTTGGAGCCAGTATTTTTCCAGGATTTCAAGTCCAATAGCTACATGATAATCACTTGGTAGAATAATCTGGTTGATTTACAGATTTTGAATTCAAAATTAATAAATGTTATTAAAGCACTCTGTACAAAGGATCAAAGATCACTCACATAGTTCAATGTAAATCATGAATTTTTATGTTTTCTTACAAAGCAAATGGATGATATGAAAAATGCTATGGGGATTATTTATGTGAGAGTAACAATGTAGAAAGAGTTCACATGAATACAGATCACCTCCAGAGACAGCCTTTGGGGCTGCTGGGGAAACCAATCCCTGGAGAGAAAATGCACCTTGGAAAACACTACTGTCTCATTCTCTCTACTCCGCTAAGAGGATAAAAACAAATCTTTGGAGATTACAGGGAAACTCCTAAGCATTTTTCATCATACAGGTCAATAGCAACACCTTCAGGAAAAGAATTGTTGGCAGTGACTTATGTTCTGATCAGCTTGTTACTGAAGTGCAGTGTTGTTTCTGGAGCTCGGGGCTGAGGACTTTTCATGTCTCTGCACAGCATTCATCTTTAGTCTTGCTGTAAAGTTGCATTTCTGGACCTAAAACTCTGTTTCCTCATCTGCTGCACATTTACTAAGGAGATGTGACTACTGAGTTGGGAGAGACTGAGTATGGAATAGTCTAAAACACACTTCATGTGATCCTCTGAGTAGCATGTTTGCACCCTTGGCTTAAAAAGGATACATTTCCAGAGTGTCTGTATTCACCTTTCCCTGTTCCATTTCCTGTTTATTTCTTGTCTCTGAAACCAACAAACTTTGTTAGAACCAGTCAATTTACCCTGGGTGTCAATTGTTCATACTTGATTCTTAGTGATTAGCCTCCTCTTCTACACAGATGATTGCTAGAGCATCTTGCTTCTCCCTCTCTGATCTGTTTACATGTACGCACATACTATTATGGTCTAAGAGATCTAAGAGTAGAAAAAACTCTCACAGACACCATATACCTCATTTCTTTCTAAATAATCACACTTGGATAATTCTTTGGTGACCAGCAAGTACTCAAACTAGATAGAGATTTACAACTGCAGATCCCAACTGGCATAAGTATTTATTACGAAGAACAGAGGCTGCCAAAGAAATATTGTAATTCCTGACAGGTAATATGGGTAATTACACCTGTCAATAGAATTTTTGACAGTGTTTGTTGCCATTTTCTGAAATAAAGCATTGAAATGA